TCCATCCACTTGACCATGGAGGCGGTCAGACAAAAAGAAAATGACATCAAGCATATCTGACCACAAGTTCAAACTCAGAAAAAAACCAATTATAGTTCTGTCAATAAATCTCTTGTTTTTCAGTATTTTATGATAATTGCCGATTTAATTATTACTAAAATTACCATGACTATTACTAATAATATTTCATTTGCCAACAAAAGTATAATCAATAAAATGGAAATAAATGCACCGGTTTGCCTCTGAAATGTACGACAGCATACATGTCACAGGACCTGATTCCGATGTACATACCTGCCAATCAAATTCTATCCGACATTACAATCTTCCCCCATATGCCATGTAATTTAATAGATTTGCCACTGCAGCTTAAGAAATGGAAACTGGTGACTATGATAGGCTCGCCTTGGGAATATTTACACTTATTTACATCGCAGGTTCAAGTGAAACAAAATTATACGACAGACAAGAGTATGAGATCACGACATCGGTGGTGCCAAGTATCTCCATATCATGGTAATCTGTTTCCATGGTAAATAGGTACAGACATATATCTCTTTCTTCTCATTTTGACACACTGATGCTACGGATCTGCTCATGTGGAAAACACTCGAGACAAAGTGTCTCGGATATCATTCTTGACATTAAATTATCAAGAATTGTGAGGTGTCGAAGTGCAGTAATAACAATGAACATTGTTTCCACATTCATATGAAATGAGTTTGGTGTTTAAACATATTTAAAACATTTTAAAGTTAAATTGTTACATTTAATAATTTAATAGAAAATTTGTTAAAAAGGTATTAATCAAACATATTTTTCCAGCTTAAGGTTCAAAGAAATATGTTAACAGTTTGCTCATGATTCTTTTTTCATGCTTACTTTCTACAGATGTACAGGAGATTTTCCTTCCCACAGTCCTCATTGTCTGAGGCCCTTTCCACAGTCCCAACTTGTCAAGACCCTTTCCACTGTCTCCATTGTCTGAGACCCTTTCCACAGTCCTCATTGTCTGAGACCCTTTCCACAGCCCCCATTGTCTGAGACCCTTTCCACAGACCCCATTGTCTGAGACCCTTTCCACAGATCCAATTGTCTGAGACCCTTTCAACAGCCCCCATTGTCTGAGACCCTTTCCACTGTCTCCATTGTCTGAGACCCTTTCCACAGACCCCATTGTCTAAGACCCTTTCCACAGCCCCCATTGTCTAAGACCCTTTCCACAGACCCCATTGTCTGAGACCCTTTCCACTGTCTCCATTGTCAAGACCCTTTCCACAGCCCCCATTGTCTAAGACCCTTTCCACAGCCCCCATTGTCTGAGACCCTTTCCACTGTCTCCATTGTCTGAGACCCTTTCCACAGACCCCATTGTCTAAGACCCTTTCCACTGTCTCCATTGTCTGAGACCCTTTCCACAGCCCCAATTGTCTGAGACCCTTTCCACAGTCCCAACTTGTCTGAGACCCTTTCCACAGCCCAAACTTGACAAGACCCTTTCCACAGCCCCAGTTGTCTGAGACCCTTGCCACAGTTCCAATTTGTCAAGACCCTTGCCACAGCCCCAACTTGTCAAGACCCTTTCCACAGCCCCCATAGTTTGAGACACTTTTCACAGCCCCATCTTGTCAAGACCCTTGCCACAGCCCCAACTTGCCAAGACCCTTGCCACAGTCCCAACGTGTCAAGACCCTTGCCACAGCCCCAACTTGTCAAGACCCTTGCCACAGTCCCAACTTGCCAAGACCCTTGCCACAGCCCCAACTTGTCAAGACCCTTGCCACAGCCCCATCTTGTCAAGACCCTTGCCACAGCCCCAACTTGTCAAGACCCAGTCCTTCTCCATGTTCCCTATCCCAGTCTCAGGCCCTCCATCATTCCACTCACTTTATTTCCTCTATATTGGTTTCAAAAGACCTGATCTTTCCGAGTGAAAAACAAGCCTGGTATTTGTATTTGACGAAGCCTCCAGATACACCGACACAAAGGCATTTCTTTCCACAACGTGTGGAACCCATAGAGCTCTAAACAAAACTTCACATGCAACATAAAATACCCCGCAGCTATCGCAAATTGCACATTGACTGAGGCTTGATAGCGACATAAAAGATGATTGTCAAATCACACAGCAAATACCTTCATGTACAAATTAACAGATAAATAAGGATTTCTATACGACACACAATATGTCTCTTTTAGCCATTTCATCCAGATGCATATAGATTACATTATTTGATTACATGGTTGTTAGAAGTGAGTCTTTGGCCATATAATCCTCAGAGAAGGGCAGTAATGGTTTGGAGCTTGAACATCTTGAACATCTTCGCCACAACTTTCATTCAAGGATCTGAGGGCTAAGGCAGAGTAACTTACCCTAACACAACTACCGTATTCGACGTAATAAGCGCCCAGGGCGCTCTCAAAATTAGAAATAGGGGGCTCTTATTAGAATATTACTTTGGTGGGAAAAAGAGAGTTGAAAGATAAATTTCGTAGTTTATGCTGACACACTGAAATGTTTATATGCGACAGATACATTTTTCCAGAATATAATTGCACATAATTAAGGGTGCATATAACACACGAGTGCGTATTATACGCGAATAAATAAGTCTTGTGTACATTGATCAATCGGAAGGAGTGCTAATTGGGATTGTTCACTAGCCAATATCTTAGCAAATATCGCCTCGGGCGCTTATTAGAGCGGGGCGCTTATTACATCGAATGCGGTAACCCTAATGTTCAAAGAGGCACCCTAGATCAGTGAAGCAATACTGAATCATTTTTCTAGTGATGTTTCTAGTTTTTATGATACTGGGTGGAGAACAGAATCTATAAGAACACCATGAACATTATATCTAGAAATGTCACTACATGGATGAGATACTGCTGATGCGACAATAAATTTTAACTCACCATTTTTTTTAGTACATTGTCATACAATTTTTACCCAGCCAGTAAACAGAACTGCAGTCTCCATCTTATAATTAACTGCCAGTGTGTAGAGGAACAGCACATTTAATACTTTTAACTGTTGGTGTAGATGTACTTGTTTGTTGTTTGTTGTTTAATGCTGCAATCAGCAAGACTCTAGCAATATTACGGCGGTCTGTAGATAATCAATTCTGGACCAGACAATCCAGTGATTGACATCATGAGCATCACATCTAATAATCAACTGCTGGTGTGCAGTTTTGCATTCCAATTCCAGTCAACAGTTTGGCCATTACATTGTAAAGCAGTAAACTACGTTCATAATGAACACGATTATAACAAAATGGCCGATATAACCAACTGGTTTTTTTTCCCGACAACTGGCTGTCTATATAATGTATCATCTTCCTGAGGCAAGAGAGTTAACTGACTTTAAAAGTCCAGTTTCCACCCTTGCCGAACTAGGCTGGAATTCCCTGGGCTCGATCGTAGCGCCACCAGTGGCTATTACGAGTTATGTCCCTTCAGAGCCTCTCCTTTAGACCAATCAGATTCCACCTCTCGTATCACTTGCATTTACTTCAAACAAAACAATGGCGCCCAGTCAAGATGATCTGATCGATAATCAAGGTCTATATTGTGATAAAACGAGTCTTACATCGCGAAATGCATCAAATCACATGAGCACCTTGATTAAAAACATGACAAGATTTGGAAAATATGGGTTAACAAGTTGGCGGTGCACATGCTTTGCAAATCCTGCAATCTACCAAAATCTGCACGACAGTTTATGAACCGGATTTTGATTTTGTTGCGTGATTGTGATTGGACTATGCATAGACTCATTAGTCCAGACAAAATTTATCTCCATAATACCAGCCTAGTTCGGCAAGGGTGGAAACTGGACTTTTATAGTCAGTTAACTCTCTTGCCGCAGGAAGATGATAATGTATATATGATTATAACAAACAAAGGTTATAACAAACTAAAATTTGTGGTCCCTTGGGTTTGTTATAACCGTAGTTTACTGTATTGCTTCTCGTTATGACAATTAAGCATAAAAAACAACAGCAGCAACTTGAAAATTACAATGGCAATGTCAGCTATGAACACTGACGACAAAGAACATTGTTTGCTTATCAGAAGTCAATAACATATACAATATCAACATTTTATGCTACGTACATTGGTTACACATTTCATTAAGATCTGAGTTGTCCTTCGCAATCCCTTTTCAGCCAGATCAGAGAATATATACATAGCTGTACAAAACAAAAATAAAAACATTACTGATCCATTTAGGGGGCTCGTGGGATACACGGGTCAATACTTTTTCTTAAATTGTTTAGGACAGCTACGTATTACCATCTCTTCTTTTGGTATGATGCAGCCGAGGATCAATTCATCTATTATAGCTGTGAATTACATATATTGTTACATGTAAAGATTGTGGAGTTTATGAAGAACGATAAACTTTGAACTTTCAAATGAAAACTTATCATCGGAAGTAGTAATATGCATAACATTTTTTTAATAATGACAACATTGGTGTATAATAATAACTTTATTGATAATTTATAACAATAATGGCTCTGGTCGTGGCAACTTCCAAACTTTCAGGAAGTTGTATTCTATCACGATCTGAAAAATACTATCATGAAAGTGTATCCCGTGGATAAGCCGACCCCTTTCTACAGAATCTTTTTTCTGGTCCTCATAATTCGGCTTACACGCGGTCATATACGGTACATGGGTCAATACTTTTACTTAAATTGTTTGGGACACCTACATATTCCTGTGGACAAGATCCAGCTGTTGGAGTAAAACCACCAACTCAGTGTTCTTCTTGAAACTAAAAAAACTGTCTCTTCTCAGTCATAGCTTAACAGGTACGTTTTTCTGGCAAAAAAAATGAATACACACACACATGAAAAAAGTTTACCCTCTGACAAAAAGTCCCCAAAATGACTCATGTGAAAAAATCCAGCTGGAGCCTGTCACAAAGTCCCTTCAAGAATCCACAATCTACAAAAACATACAAAGTTATAAAACAAAAATTCACTCACATTAATCCCACTTGATCAGTTGTTCCTGGTAGTCGGTATCCACACCGGTACCTTGGACACCACTCACAGACTGATTCCCAGCTCACAGACCCACGCCCACGCACATCTATCTTGGACAAGTTCCTGAGACTTATCCTGAGATTTATCCTGAGACTGGAGCTTCAATGGTTGCTAGCCAGCTGTGAGGGGGAAAACTGATGCCAGCCAGGGAGGGTGAAGCACCCCCCTAACTGACCCCCCAATCTCTCCAGCTTCCTCTCCCCAGATGGCTGCAACAGCTAACACTGCGCTCGGTCATGGAGTAATGTTATTACGCTCTTCTGTGTTGAAAATGTCATATATTTCCCTGCTTAACATTTAACTTTTAGCTTAATGGATCTTGGCAATACATCCAGATCTATTTAACTTGTATCTCCCATTTTTCAAGGTGTAGTTTACCAGAAAATTAAACATGTCTTTCCAAATGACAGCAGCAGATCAGGTGAAGATGGGTTTTTTAACCTTGTTTTTTTCAATGTAAACTTTTGAAAGTTTGTGTATAGTATCTGTAGACCTTTGAATTCCAGGATGTTTTTCACATGTTTCTTGTATCAGTTCTTTGATTGTGTTGAAATTGGAATAAACAATGAGTGGGTGAGTTAGTATGGTTTTTATGGTTTTATTTATTTATCACAGCGAGGGACACCAGAAATGAGCTTCACACATTGTACCCATGTCGGGAATCGAACCCAGGTCTTCAGCGTGAAGGGCGAACGCTTTAACCACTAGTCTACCCAACTACCTCTTGAAACATACAAAATTTGGCTGAATAACTTCCGGTAAATTTAACCCAAAAGGTTTTTGCCTACCTGTGTGGGAAGTGTTCGTTAAACAAGGTTGGCTGTTTTTTAGCCATATTGTTATATAAACAAGTAACATTTTAATATTACACTCAACTCTTTCAACAAAGGACAAATAAACAACCAGAAACACATTGTGTTATATAAAACTAGTGTAAGAAACAATAAATACATTTAACGATGGAATCATGAAATAAAGTAAATATTGGGCCCCATCACCAGCAGGCCAAGTTCGGCCAGCAGGGGTTCATGGGGACGTTGAGTACCCCTGCTACCTCTGCATGCACAGGATGTCTTGTCCAAATTTATGCATATTCATCGCACAAACACCACCTGTGGCCAGAGGGTGGTTTGAATATGAATATGCATGAATTTTGATAAAAGGTCCTGTGCTGCATAATACCCCAGCAGTATTATATCATACTATGATTATTAACACTGTAGCATGTAGTTAACATCAAGCAAACATATACCAATTGCAATGTGAACTTACATACAAAATAATTATGCACCCCTTGAAAGAATGGGGGCGGTCGGGTAGCCTGGTGGTTAAAGCGTTCGCTCGTCACACCGAAGACCCGGGTTCCATTCCTGACATGGGTACAATGTGTGAAGCCCATTTCTGGTGTCCACCGCCATGATATTGCTGGAATATTGCTAAAAGCAGCGTAAAACCATACTCACTCACTCACTCACTTGAAAGAATGTGCAAAAATTATACAGTGACCCCTCTCTACCTTGCTACCTTTAGGGTCCAAATAATTGATGAGTGTTGTAGACAATCAGCAGTTTAACCGAGTCAGGGGGTAGATGACAGACGCTAGAGCACATGCTCTGCCTTCTCGATATGATCTATGCCACATGTTTTAGAATTTGAAAAAAAAATTAGAATAGCAGTTGTTTATGATTCATAGTGTAAAAAAAGTTTTATCGAGTGTGATGCACATCACATCCCTTCAGCGAATTCAGGTAATCAAACAGGTTTAACAAACTTGGTCAATAAAAATATAAAATGTGATATAAAACATCACTAGACGATGATTTACCATTTTAATTGTATTTCCTGCTCTCCAAGGCATTGTTTTAAATGCAGTGATTAAGTCGGAAATAGCAATCGGTTGTACACACGTTTTCTCCCAATCTATTGGTGATTCAGTTAAAACATACTCAATGAAAACACATTGACTCAGTGTAAAACTTGAGTTTATTAAAAACATAAGTTAATTTTGGGAGCCAGACATTTCTGCTCGCTTTAACCATGTTAGCGCTATAGTGAGGGCTGCAATAGCATAGGAGACACTGTATATGAAATCTTCTCTTTAAGGAATGAAAATGTTGCCTATAGATTAATTTATTTGAAACTACAGGTTCTACTACACCAAATCAGAACCAGTTTGGACAGTGCGGTTTTCGTAGGGAGCCTTCAGTGTAGATCGAGAGATATCTGCAGGCTGTGATTGGAGCATATTCTGTAAGATTTTTATGTCTTTCAAATGTACATCCATCCAGTTATTAAAACTGACCATGTTTTTCTATATTTAGTACTGTCTTTTTCAACATGATGACTTATGCTGAATGTGACCACAGCTATTTTCAAGTAGGTGACATTTGGTGCGAAACTGGGGGTGGTGTGTTTAGCTTCCGTTACTCGGAAAAGGAGCTGACTAAGCTAGTCATTTTTATTTTTTTTATTGCTGCTCTAAGGCCAAACTGTGCACACACATACAGGTAATAGCTGTTGAATGCTTAGTTATTTAAAAAAAAATCATAACGTTACTATAGAAGTCTATGGGAAAACATTTGGTTGTGTGTAACCTAGAGCACTCTTAACAATCCTCTTTTGTCCTGTATGTGTGTTTGTGTGTACATATATATGTAGATATACAACTATACAATACGATATTAATGTGGAAAAATTTATTACCGTATTCAACATAATAAGCGCCCAGGGAGCTCTCAAAATTAGAAATAGGGGGCTCTTATTAGAATATTATTTTGGTGAAAAAAAACATAGTTGAAAGATAAGTATCGTGGTTTATGCTGACAGCCTGAAATGTTTATGTACGACAGATATACTTTTCAAGAATTTAATTGCACATAATTAAGGGTGCATTTAACACACGAGTGCGTTTTTTACACGAATAAATAAGTCTTGTGTACATTGATCAATTGGTAGGGGTGCTAATTGGGATTATTCACTTGCCAATATATTAGCAAATATCACCGTGGGCGCTTATTAGAGCGGGGCGCTTATTATGTCGAATACGGTATGCTCGTACGAAGCTTGTAACCTGCCCACGAGGGCGTTTTGTCCTAAACATTTCTATTCTATTCTACACCCTGAGACTCAGGCTGGTGTGAATGAACAAGCAGCACGACATGTGCGTGAATTACTTCTACACCAAACTGTTGTGGCCTGTCTCACGCTGGGAGCACATCAGGCTATGTTCTCTACCAAATGTTCCTGGTCTGGCTTCATCAGCTGCAAATTAACTTAACAAACTCAAGACTCTCAAACCAGCGCCAGTGATCAATTCATCCAAATGAAATTTGAAACATTTTGTATCATCATCGTCGTCGTCGTCGCCGCCGTCATCATCATCATCATCGACGTCGTCGTCGTCATCATCATCATCATCATCATCATCATCATCATCACCTCCATCATTATCCCCAGATAACCACCATCAACATCACGTCATCACATTATCACTATCATCACCACCACCATCACATTATCATAAACATTACCTTGTCATCACTAAAATCTCATGGACCGCCTCCATGGTCTAGTGGTAGAGGGTCCGCCCGAGGAGCGCAAGGTCCTGGGTTCAATCCCCGGCCGCGTCATACCAAAAGATGTTAAAAGATGGTACTTGTTGTTATCCTGTCTGGTTGCGGCATTAAGGGGCTAAAACAAGGACTGGTTGGCTTTGAGTCAGTTTACTGTGTCTGAGTGAGGTATTCATGTTAGGCTGTGGCATGGTATCTCAGTGGCCTAGCACTATAAATCGGCATCAGCCCGGACTCGTACAAGCAGACACAAACACACACACGTGCATGCACTTCTTGGATGATTTCACCTCACCTCACCTCACCTCACCTCACCTAATATCACCTGACATTCATTCTATGTGTGTGTGTGTGTGTGTGTGTGTGTGTGTTTTGTGACAATAGGTGTTACGGTGAATAGGTGTAGTGTTATGGGAGTAGCAATGTTATGTTTATGCTATGGGTGTGCTGTGGGTCTAGTTGTGTTGTGGATGTCAGCAGCATTGTTGTGGTTGTGTTAAGGTTGTGTTGAGTCATGGGAGTGGCTGATGTTAGGCAGTGGTTGTGTTTCTGTGGTAGTGACTGTGGGTGTGGATAGCAGACTGGCTGGGGGAAACAGAGGCTCAAGGATGAAGAACACCTCCAACCCCCAGTCCCCACCCCAGTCTCCCTTGTTTTGTGAAAGTTGCTGCAGGGCTCTTGCTAGCCTTGCTCAAAGGCTGTACTGAATGATAAATCCATGGGTGTAAAGTAATTCTACCCTTATAATAGGCAAGTCTAGATAAGCGGACAGTAAGGATGCCAGTCTCATATAGTGACAACTTGTTCTTTATTTATATAATCTAAAAATTATGATTTAAACTAATAATATTTTCCTTGGAGACGTTGTGCAAGTCTAGGCTCTGGGCTTCCTGTGTGAGCCTCCTCCTGGCGTGGCCATTACATCATCTGTAATCGCGCTGCGCACACCTTGCAGGAGATGAGCCAAGATATCCTTGTTAAATGATCACCACGGCACATGGAGGTTAGTTAATCAGAACCCCAGACTGTTTGATAACAAGCTCTGATTACAGGTGATAAATCAGGAAGGATATTGTTTTCAATGGCTGACATTTCTTAAACATACCATATGTATATATATTATCTCACCACCACCATAATCATCATCATCAGCAGCAGCAGCAGCAGCAGCATCACAACCACCACCATCATTATCATCACAACAACCACCACCACCATTATCACAATCATCATCATCATCATTATCATCATATCACATCACATCACATCTCATCACCATCACATTACCATCATCATCACAATCATCATCATCATCATCATCATCACCATCAGCATCACATCACATCACATCATCATTGTCACAATTATCACAATCATCATCGTCACCATCACATCACAATCATCATCACCATCAGCATCACATCATCATCAACATCACATCACATCACATCACATCACATCACATCACATCACATCACATCACATCATCATCACATCACATC